AAGCATCTGTTCTTCCTCTCCCATCCTTCATCTTCATAGGAAGCAATCCTTGAGCATTCAAAATCCCAACTTCAAGTATTCCCACTGGTTGTTTCCATAGCTGTTTTGCAGTTGGTCTTTGATCACTGATATATAGTGTAGATTCATCAAGCACATGATATCCACCTTCAAGAGAACCTCTCAAGTGAACCCTGCTTGAAAACTTGAGCTCCTTTCGCCTATCCGCTTCTAAAACTCCGAACCCGTACCGCTCAAGGTTGAACCAACGCGAATGAACTGGCCTATGATCAAGCCGTTTCTCGAACGTGTCGAGAGCGAGACTGATCTGCCCCAAAACATCTTCTTTTGAAGGGTGTACTCTGTCCTCAATAGTGATTAGCAGCTGTTCTTCAAAGGGCTCAGCTACCACAAACACCAAATCTTCATTCCAAAATGGATTATTAGTGCTTGTTGAGCTGATCTTTGTTCTAAGTAGCTGATTCCCGAGTTGAACTTTGACGAACGCATCGGGAACACGGTTTCTGTCATTTGGGATAACATCTTGCGCTTCAATAACATTTAGCCTTAGATACCATAGTTTTGGAGAGACATAAACCTTTGATCTTACATTATGAACACCTTCCCCAAACACTGAGGCTGCATCAGAATGCCATGCCTCTGGGAAAGCTTCATCAGCTTGTGTTCCCATCCAAACAGCAACCATGATTTCTCCTCTTACCTTGCCGGTTCCTCGTCGGTCCTCCAATCGGTACCATTGAGGAGCCAATGGACTATCCGGAGGAACCCGAGTAGGAACCTCGTTCAAGTCGAACACGACACGGCCGAGATACTCATCTCTTCCGAGCATTTCTTTGTCCTTGACAAAAACTTCAACTGCAGAGGACTGTATGCGTTCTTTTGAGAAAGCAAAAACTTGATTCCATTCTGGATTTTGTTTCTTGTCAAAATGCCTTGTTCTTCCTTTATAGTTTCCAAGCTTTACTTCCACATAAGGATCACAACCTCCAGTGATTGAACTTGGAGGTAAATCCCTTGCTTTCGTAACTCGAACATAGAGATAAAACATTCGGTCAACAAGGTCGTAAGTGCTCGCGTGTCGTTCACTACTCAGCCAACCTCGTCCACCATACGCTCTGTCGTTCGGCCATTGCTCGTCGAGTTGAGAATCAGTGTCCCTGATCTCATACTCATCTTGGTTGCTGTGATTAGCTTGTGATGGAATGCTTCTGTTGATTGAAGATGTAGCACCGTGTGGTCGTCGCTGTACTAATATTCGAGGCCGCTGCATTGTTTGCTGCTTCAGCCGATTCCACAATCCTTGCCTTCGGCTCTTTAACAGGATCTAGAGATAGATATCAATGGTTAAAGATAGTCGAATCGAGGCTGTTTGGAATGGTTTTCGAGTAGCTTATATATGGTTTTGAGTATCAACCTCACAAATGATGAACTAGAAGATCCTTCACCACCAACAGTTGCTTCATAATCCTTCCATTTCTTCTGCAAACTGCAAGTAGAAGCAAGGAAGTTCCATTTTGGAAGACATAAAACACATAAAGATGAAAGAGTTATGAGCTCTGTTTCACTTTGTGGGAAGTGTTTTTGGTTATGAAGCTTATGAAGAAAGGAATGGTTTGATGAAGAAGCTGGAGAGGAAGGAAAGCAAAATCTGTTGTTTCCAAGAGCATTAAGGCATAATTTCACAAGAACTCAACAGTACTTGTTTCTTAAGTTTGCTAAAAGACACTGAAAAAGATGAACAAGATTGTTTCTTTTGAGTTGGAACATTCGAGATTCTAATCTCTCGTTCGAGAACACACACGAAAAAAAAAAAAAAAAGAACATACGGGAAATCTCCGTTTCGATCCCTACAAAATAAATGGAAAATTTCGTGGTGATGGAGAATGAAATGACGGGCATGGGAATGAATAAAGTTTCGTGTCCCTGCTCTGTCTCGTGGACATCTTTAGTTGAATTTGATAGAGTTCGAACAACAAATGCAATACCAACAAGTTTATTTGATTTCTGGTTGCACCGTGAGTAATTATAAAATGTTGAATTACAATAACTTGATTTTAGATCGATCACCTTTAGAATAATTTTTGGTGATCTACTTTTAAACGGTTCTTTTTTAAAAAAATGCTTTGAAAACAATTTATTCCTTTCAAAAAGGAAATTTTACTATTATCAAATAACTTGTTCTACTATTCCTTTCCTAATTATTTAGTTTTTTTTTTTTTTAATTTTAATTTGTGAAAAATGAGCTTATAAATTCTACTACTATATGTATATATATATATATATATATAATCTCATGGTGAGAAAATAAACATAATTAAAAAAAAAAAAAAAACTGAAATTATGATGGAATCAAAGTTTCTATCTCACATCACATTTTTTTCCATGTGAACTTGAGTATCTAGTGGAGATATTCTTTGCTTTGTTCATATTTAAATTTATTTATCATAAAATAAATTAATCATATTTAAAATTAAATGGTCAATAATTTATTGCCTTCCATTTGAATTCTAAATAAACTTTTAAAAAATTTAGCTCAATTATTTTGAAAGCATTTTTTTTTTTTTATCAAACGTGAAATTAATATTTATAAACATAATTTTAAAACATTTAAAATTAAAAACAACATAATTAATCTTAATTATTTATATTTAAAAACTCTTGAATTGTCCCTTTCTTGGAAGGGCAGCAAAGTCAAATTTGGGTTAAAAAAAAAAAAAAAAAAAAGGTTTTCATTTGTATACTTTATTCCTTGTTTGCTTTGCCTTTCGTCAATTTCCTCAACATTTTATCTCTTCCAAACTTACAAAATTTATGAAGTTATCAATTTCCTTTTAACATTTTTAAACTATGTTCGGTATCTTTATAATGTGTAAGAACTTTACTCCAGCTTACCTTTATGCATCGAATCGAATGGATGTTGTAAATTGTTATAAGTTTTGATTTAATTTGGAGATCTTATGACAAGGTGGAGATGGTAGTAAATTGTCATAAGTTTTGATTTGTTTTTATTAGATTATTTGGATCAGATTTGATAACCATGAGTTATATGAATTAGATTTGATTTGGTTATTTGGATTATATTTGATTTGGTTATTTAAATTAGATTTAGTCGGGAGATATTTTGTAACTCTATATAACGAGAGAGTTCTCCCTCCATTCTGTAGATCCACTCCTAACAAGTGGTATCGGGATTTGGGGGAGTTTTGAGTAACACATTGTATTTGTTGAATGACATATTGGAGTCTTTGTAGTGTGATAGTGAGGTATTCACTTGTAACACTTGGTTTATTACTGATTGCTCTCCATTCTGGATATCCATTCCTAACAAGTGGTATCGGAATTTGGAAGAGTTTTGGGTGTCACATCGTATTTGTTGAGTGACACATTGGTGAGAGTTTTTGTAGTGTGATAGTGAGGTATTCACTTGTAACACTTGGGTATTTTAGTGATTGGTCCGTGGATGTAGGGGAACTTCTTCTCTTCGAACCACGTAAATATCTTGGTGTCTTTTTGTGTAATTCCGTTCATTGGTGTTGTGTGTACATTTGTTCTGCTTTTGGGAGCACAATAATGGATTCAATGAATATTTATTTGATAATTTTTTTTTCTCTAATTCAAATAGCATGTAGAAAAAATATTTTAATTGTGTTTTTTTTTCGTGGATTCAAATTTCAAAAAATTATATTAAACTAATAATAATAATAATAATAATAACTCTAATCTTGAAATAAACTTATTTCCTTTTATTAAAAATTTAAACATGCATAACATTATATATTATCAATTATATAGTATTTAAAAATTAGAAAAAGAATTGATTTTGGCCCGTAACTAGAGATTTATTTATATATTTAGTAAATAAGTTTAATTTTTTAATTATTAAAAACTAATATTTAAAATTGAATTTTTAGTAGATCATTATATTATATCTTTTTTAATTAGAATGTTTTATATTTTTAATAGAAATTAGGTTGGAAAATACTAAAAATGAGTATTTTCTAAATATATATATATAAAAAACAGACAAATTCTTAAAAAAAAAAACCTTGATTCCTCAATCTCATAAAAATAAATGGAGATTAAAATAAATTTATCACCCCCACCGGGTCTCGTAATGAACTCTTGTAAATTGTGGGGGCAACTCATGTAAATTGTGGGGGCAACTCATAACTTTGTTGCATAACGGGGATGGGCCACTAGGGTAGCGGTTAAAAGGAAAAGGGTGTGCAATAGGGTTGGAATAGACATCAAGTGCATATCACTGATGACTATCTTAGTGTCGGTACTTGTTTGTTACCGGTTTCTTGCCCATATTTAGTTTTGGACAGAATTTACTATCCAATTGAGGCTACATTTCCAAACAACTTGACTCATTGGCAGTGTCTCGTGGTGCGATAGAGTCCGAGTGCAACGAGGTTCTCACCCTCTCTGGCACCCCCTTCTAGAGGACTTGTGCCAGATCCGTCTGAGAATGTTTTTCAAAACTACAATTCGAACCCCGGATTTAATGGAAATGGAAAACCGCTTTAGATAACGTTGGACGGAGATCTGACCCAACAAAAGCCAGTATATATCATTGATGACCGCCTTAGATAACGTTGGATGGGAATCTAACTCAACAAAAGCCAATGTGACTGAGGAGAATGCCTTAGGTAACGCTGGGCGGGGATCTGACCAACAAAAGCCTATATATATCATTGAGGACCGTCTTAGGTAACAATGGGTGGGGATCTAACCCAACAAAAGCTAGTATATATATCACTGAGGACTGCCTTAGGTAACGTTGGACAGAGATTTGACCCAACAAAAGCCAGTAAATATCATAGAGGACCACTTGGTAACGTTGGGCCGCCCTACGTAATGTTGGGCGGGGATCTAACCCATGCTAAAAAGTGGTTGAACATAGGCAACCCCTACCTCCATCTACAAAACCAAATAGAACTTCCGAATCCCAAGCTTCCATTATACAACAAGCTGCCAAATGAACTAATAAAACCAGCTAACGCAACTTCATATATGGATTAGCAGGTTGAAAGAACAGACACTGCCTTTAAATTGCTAAGCTTGGCACATTAAGGTAATATGAGATGAAGATCATATCATATTACATAACAGTACAAACGAACCCAGATGTACTACCAACATTATAACTGACTCAATAAAATAAAAATGCGCTCAAGCTTGAACGACCCTAATTATTGGGAAAGGATTGAAATAATGGAATACCTGTACTGCATTGGCCCATCTAAAACTAATTTTTAGCAGCCAATTGCTAAAACTAAGCTGAACTCTTTACTCAAATGGACCCAGAAGTGTCATTCATTATTGGCCAATTAGAGAGTTTCCTCCCTATCTCAAATAAATTATTTATCCTCTGGCCAATCTAACAAAAAGTTTCAACACTCAAGCCGCAGCTTTCGATTTCGGTCTTTGTTTCTTGGCATCCAAGGAAGCTAAGCCGGAGCCTAATCCAACCGGGGCCTGATCTTGTGCTGAAGGCAGCTGATCTTGTTTTCCATCCACCTGAGTGTTGTTAGTAGCGGGGTTGGCGTTAACTTCTTTCTTCTCACCATCTGTTTCGCTACTATCCGCTGCGTCTGGTGTCACGCCAGAATTGATGATATTGAGCACTTGGGTAAGTGGTGGCATAGCTTGAACTGGGACGCCTGATTGACGTATCAAGAGGCCTCGAGCTGCAGCTTTCTTTCTTGCTTCAGCTGTGGCGCGAGCAGCTCTCTCGTCTACACCCCTACCTCGCGGAAGAGTTTCACCAATAATAGCAGCATTGAGGGATTTGTTGATAGCACCTCCAGAATTGCCAGATCCAGCAGCTTGAAATGCGTGCATTAAGTCTGGATGAGACTGCAAGGTATTCAGAAATAAAGCCTTTGAATTTTGTATAATACCCCCCCATTGAACAAGAAACGATTACAAGAACGAAAAGGGGAAAATATAATAAAAATCCCCACGAGTCAATCTCGAGCTTTATAAGATGCCAGAGAGTCGCATGGCCAATGGTAACAGTGGCCTAGTACCTTAAGAATATCGATGGCCTTCTGAGCCGAGGCAGCATTCAGAGTTTGGCCCTTCTGTTTCTGAGCATTCATCTGTCAAAATACAATCTATATTGTTAAAGGACAAAAGAGGTTTTCTCGGTAGCTCTAACCTTCATTTTTTAACATCTTTCGACTTACCTGAACCTCACGCATCTTAAATGTCTTCATCCAATTTCCTGAATCTTGCGTCCGCGAATCTTCTTCACCCAATTGTTTGACGAGTATATCGTAGGTTTTCTTTTCGTGCTGCCGTGAGAGACGAAATCTTAGTCGTACATTACAACGGATGTCAAATATTATTCACCATTTCTGTTCAAGGAATTACCTGGTGGGACAGCTTAAAGGCACCCATACAATTGAATGCAATAGCAAGAGCATGGTAACAAACAGCAGTTTGAATATGTTCCTCGCCTAGAAGTCTTTCGTTTTTCTTCAACGCTTCTTGCAAATAACGAAGAGCTGTGTTCATCTTTCCAATATCCTGGTACATCATTGCAACATTTATGAAAGTTGCAGCAACATCAGGATGGTCAGGACCAGACGATAAACCTAGCAGCAGCAATGCTCGAGACATGTGTCGTAGTGCAAGTTCTGTTTGGTTAAGTCCATGGTAGAAAAGAGCCATATTACCGTAACTACAGAAGCAAACAAAATTTATATCAGAAAAAAGAAATGCAAACAAATTTAGAAGACAACATACACGCATGGATACAGAGACCGGAAACAACCGACATAATCATTAGGATTGGACTAATTTGTTGGATACTATAAATCATATATTTAATTTTTATTTAGGTGTATAGTGTCACAATCGGCGATACGATTATGCCCCCAAGCAAGTCATCGAAGACGATAACTAGGAAGTGGGAGAGTGTCACAACCTCACTGAGAGAAAGTAGGTTGTGACCCCCACACATCAAGATAAACAAGGGGCAACCCTCAAGTTGCACCCATCCGGTCACGTATGGGCCAAAATTGAGAAGTGCCATGATGCAACCAAGAAACCCCATCAAATTATCTCATTCACACAGAATGGAGGATTTCTAGGTACTAAAAAAAACTATAAATCTTATGTTCTACATCCTAGAACCCTTGATTCAATTAGTTAATCAAAACTGAAGCAAGGAAGTGGAAATGCCTGTGGGCTGTGTCAGGATGATCCAAACCCAAACAACGTTCATTTATAATCAGTTCCTTGTGCTGTTGGACTATGGCTCCGGCCATGTCTCCTGCATGATACAAAACCATAGCTAGGTACCTAAAATTTTAAAAAGGAAAAGATTAGTTTCCTTATCATAATCATGTGCTTGTTAATGACAAAATTTGTATGCCAGAATAGTCCTGATGTCTACCGGCAACAATTGGCAACCTCTCGATGCATTGGACCAGTAACCTGTAACAAAGGAGTTTTTTTAAATTGTTGAGATTATAAACTAACAGGATTCTTTCAGCAGACAATGCTAAAGAATGCATAAGTCATTACCTGCTGAAGTATCGAGACTGCTTCTGAAAATAATGCATAGGCTTCGCTAAGCATCCCCTGAAGAACAATATAATCAATAATCAATCAATCAATCAAATTTTCTACAACCAGACATTATGATTCAGGTCTCTTTGCAAATACAAATGATCAGCTATTTTTCTTGTTTAGTTCTAAGTTCGTCAAGAGCAGTATCCGACAAGTCAACTCCTTGACCATTCAAAATTTAGTTTTCCAAAAAAAAGTATATAATGATATAGTGGAATATTGTTTAAGGAACTGAATTCAGCTTTAATTCAAGCAAACCAATATAATTTTAAAAGGTGACATCATTATTGCTGACCTCTGCCAACTTCAGCTTTCCTGTTTCGACGAGATCCTTCGCTTCTGAACATACAGGAATTGAATGCTTAACAACAGGTTGGAGATTCAAGATATCTGATGTCTGGAAAGGTGCAGCAGAACTTAAATCATACTTCCTAGCAGCAACTGTGATTCCGACCTGTTAAGAACCCATTGTATTGTTAAGAAAATCATTAATCCAATAGACATCTCAAAAGTTCAAAAACTGAGATCTGGTAAAAGAATCAAACTAATTTCTAACTTGGAGTTGTAAATTTCTTCCTTTTAAGAGTTATAATTATGCAATAAGGTGCATTGATTTTAATATTAATATCTGCATTTTCACCAATAAGTCATAGGTGTAACATCTAATGCAACCGCCCAAGCCCACCGCTAGCGGATATTATCCTTTTTGGACTTTCCCTCAAGGTTTTAAAACACATCTACTAGGGAGAGGTATGTTTTGTTCCCCTCTCCAACCAATGTGGGATCTCAAAATTCACCCCTTAGGGGGCTCAACGTCCTCGTTGGCACACCCCCGTGTGTCTGGCTTGAATACATTTGTAACAGCCCAAGCCCATCAATAACAGATATTGTCCTCTTTGGGCTTTCTCTTCTAGGCTTCCCCTCAAAGTTTTAAAACGCGTCTACTAGGGAGAGACTTCCACACCCTTATAAGGAATACTTTATTCCCTTCTCCAACCAACGTGGGATCTCACATCTAAAAAAATCCACCAAAACTCAAGGGAACTACGTAGTGTATAAGTGAACATCCCCAATATTCTATCTATACAACACACACCAATTAGGGAATTTCTGCAAGGATTCTATTGTTGTAATTCTCCATAAGTGCTAATACACACCAAGCATAGTGCAGAGCAACCAAATAAAAATTGAAAAATATATAAGATGCACTTTGGAATTAAATAATTGAATGGATAATAACCTTATGGCAAAGGCTCCGTACAACAGAAACTTTCTTCACACGCGACCGTGCATCCTCCGGTAAGTCAAACTGCATTGAAAGTATTTCATCATAAGAAATTACATAAATGCCTATTTGATTTTTTTTTTAGATCATTATTAAATGAAAGACAAGCTTATAACAAGTCTATGAAGAAACAGAATTTTCATTAAAAACAATGGAAAAACTAAATGATAGGAATGGCAAAACACCTGTTCCTATCACTAATTGCAGGCAAGACTTCGGAGGCTAAGACAGCCCAAAAAAGATGAAAAAACATAGTTTGAGCCTTTGAGATAATATCATAAGGGGAAGTATGTGGGAGTCGTTTCATGTAAAGATCACCTGATATTTGAGCTTTCCAAAATTTCGAACGTCAGCCCAAAGAGAATCTGAGCTAACACTCATATATGAGGATTGACTCTTTTTTGCAAGTGTTCTACCTTTCCATCTGGCTTGTCCCCTTAAATTTTTTCCGGAAGAATGATGGTGACCCACTTGGTCCTGCAATATAAATGTACAACACAAGAAATCAACTTTAGCTAATTTAGAAGTAGGTGTATTAGACTGCCGAGAGAGTTTTTTAGCAGCCACATAACCTTTTGATTTTGCCCTTCATCTTTCTCAAGAATTACTTAAATATAGTTTTATTAGCTGTAATGAGGTACCTCTTGGCATGTGCAGAAAGGGTTCTTTAGGCTTTACATCCCCTTTTCAATTTACACACGTCACCAAACAATTGCATGTTTGAAGTAAATGCTAAAACAATAATCATTTCTTTTTAAGATAAGTATATACTAATAGCTTCATACATTAACAGCTAAACAAACAGTGTCGTATAAAATTTAAGCTAAAAGAATATTTAATATTAGCCCAGGGAATGGGAATAGTGAACAATAATATAGTTTCATCTAGACACAAATATCTGCTTTGAACAAACCTTCTTTGGGGTTCTGGACTGAATATTACTAGCTGCTTTTGTAGCAAGTACTTGACAACTTCCAAAGAAACAATTGAAGAAATGTGAAAGTGCCATCCCCAAGTCATGATCTTCAGTATCTCTCAAAACATCCTGTACAATGAGTAATACTAGTGTGAAATACTACTAAATCAACGAATGAAATGAGTTGTTTTTTTTGGAAAATAAGAGAGAAAGTATGAGTGGGGGATAAGTTCTCTGGATTTATTAGGCAACCTCATATTCTCAAATACTCAAACATCGTGAAAATGAAAATGCTAATCATCATTGTTTCCCACAAGAAACTATTTATCAATAAGTCATTTAATGACAGAAGCATAAAGAGTAGACCAAAATCAATAGTATCACTCAGTTTAGATGCAGAATGACACGATGCAGATAATACTAAACTCACTTTTGTCAAGGAATGAAAAAAGGCTAACAAAAAATGTTCTTATCTGTGTTGATCAATATCATGCAACTAGTTCTAAAAAGATAGTTCGGCATTGAGTATTAGAACATAACACATTATGCCTTAAAAGCCACAAATAGCCAGATTGAATAACCTGTGTATCAAAGATGGAATCCATAAAAATTCGTTGTAATGCCCTCCGTAGCATGCCTTTTCTCAGTGTAAAAAAAAAGAGACTTACACTATATTCATAGTAAGAAAAGGAGGAGTTAGATTTAGCACCTTAAGAATGTGCTTTGCAGATCTAACTGCAATCTCATTAGAACAAAGGTCCCATAAATGGGGTAAATGTTTAGTGCCCTCAGCAACCTGTTGAGAAGAGTTACAAAGATCGTCAAAATCTCTATTCATGGGCATACCACCAAGACAAGGTCGTCAAACTGATCAATGATATCGTTATGTTATGTCTAAGCATGCTCACTTTTCCTATATACCGAACATTAATTCCATGAGCATGGAGTGCCTCAGTCAAGGTCTGGCCATCCATTGGTGAGACTTCCAGTGTGCAGAGATCTTGAATGAATTTTGGAAGCACAACATCTGTGAGGAACATACTGGCTCCCCTCACATTATTTTTGTCTTCTTCAATCTCCTGGTGAATGCAAGAGTAAGAGAACTGAGAACATGGGCCTCTAAGTAACTGCCAGGCAAAAGGTACGCAAGTTCAGATCTTACCTCTTCACTCCCAGCCAACTTAAACTCAGTCAAGACATTAGGATTAAAAAAGATTTCATTCTGTGATTGTGAGCTCTCTTTGAGATCCTCGGTCTTCTTGTCCTTGCTAGTATCCTAAAAGCAACATAATTCAGATTTCTCAAATATTTACCAAGATCCAATCACTTGGATTTTCATCCATTGATACAATGAAAGATCATAAAGAAAAAAGCATAAAACTGACATTCACAAAATCGCAAATAAGAAGAATAAATTGACCTGCAAATCCACCATCCAAATCCAAGAAGAAATACAGATAAATACAGCGATTGGGAAAATTAATCAAATGATCATATGCATCACAGGAGACTCCTTTGCTACTCATATGTACTGATTGAAGCATTTTTGCAAGAACTTATGAATTCTTCATTATTTATCCCTGCAAGAGAGAACTTTTCCAAAAAGCTTCTTGTTTTCCAAATTCGGAATATTTGATATGCACAATGAAGGGTCGAGGCTGGACAACTCGGCAGGAAGTCCAAGTTCATTTAAACTGTAGAAGCTTAGCTAAACCTAAATGAAAAGTAGATTTGCTAAACCAACAGATTGAATCTTTAAATTACCTTTTTCAAGAGCCTCCATCAACCTTTGAAGTCGATTTGCCAAAAATAAATCAATTTTTGTAAAAAGAAAAAAAGAAATGTAGAAGTGAAGTAAAATCACTACAAATGTTGGAATGATTAGCAAGCACTCACAACCTTGTAAGCCTTGAATTATAAATACTCAAGGCAAACCAATACTTGAAAGGTATACATAAAACAAACCCAACAAAATAACCAGTCCCCATGCCCAATTACAAAAAATGAGCTAATCCAAAAGAACAATACTAAGCTGGTAACTACAAAAAATTCTAATAACACACCCATAAAGAAGAATTCAACCTAATTAAATTTCAAAGATCCTCCTCCAACCTCTCCGCCCCATAAAAAATTCTAGAGTTCCTCTCAAGCCAAATGCCCCACAACATGGCAAAAAACGAAACTGCCAAAGAACCCTTTATTTGCCACAGAAAACGGGGTTCAAAAGTACCTCCTCAAAAATCAAAGAATACCTGCAATTACTTGTTGATGCAACCTTAAAAGTCTTAAGGAACTGATTCTACAGAGAGCTAACAAAATCATAATCCTAAAATCATAATCACCATTGAGGTCATAAAAAATTAAGAATAGGGCAGCAAGAGAAACAAAAATTATTAAAAAACAGTTATTAAAGATTACACATTGAATATGATTTATATGTGCACGTGTATAGATAACGAGAAACCTGATTTGCAAGGAAAACAAATGAAAGAATACATGATCATACAAAAAGAAAAATCCTACCAAAAAAGGAGCCAACTACAAGAAGGGGCTCCAATCAAGTAAAATGAGTTCTAGCGACAAGGGGCCAAACATCGTCGAAAGAGAAAGAAAGAATCTAACAAAGGACCAAACATTGTCGAAAGAACTTTCACCCTGAAGATTCTATTATTTCTCTTGACCCACAAACACCATAAAATAGTACAAATCCTAGCCTGCCACCAAAACAACCATTTCTCATGAAAGGGCGAATGGAGGAGAAGTTCCTTGGTTGACTCCCTACAACTCTGAGAGCTTACAAAGCTAAAGCGGAAACACCTCAAAGAAACTATGCCAAACAAAGTCACACAATCACTATGATTTTTTTAAAAGAAACTTATAATATCTAGACCTTTTTTGTGAGTTCCTCCGCCTAGGTTGTGTTTCTAAAGTTTTGATTCACTCAAGGAGCTCATTGTCTCTTTCGTTTGGGTTCCACCATTCGTGGTCCAATAAGGAAACGACAACAATTACAACTCTCCTTTCTTTAGCGGTAGACTTCAAGCTTAGGCTGGGGAGAGGATTTTCGGCTGTAAATTCTTAGTCCTTCTGTGGGCTTCTCCTGTGGATCTTATTTTCTTTATTTAGTGGATCCTTCCCCTCCTAGGAAGTTTGTGTTCTCGATTTTTTGGAAAGTAAAATCCAAGAAAAGGTGAAGTTCTTTGTCTGGCAGGTTATTCATGGAAGAACCAACACTTTCGACAGGATTTTGTGAAAGTTTCCATTCTTGGTTGGGCCTTGCTGTTGCATTCTGTGTATTCCTATCAAGTATTTCAAGGTATATTGAAATATAAAGGATGAAAATTTACAAAATAAATAAGTGTTTCGAGGTACTTGGATTCACCTCTCTTGAGATCTCTCTCAACCCCTAACTACCAAAATAAGGCATCATTTCTCCCTTTCTTACCCCTCTATTTATAATCAAATACACTAACAACTTTTCTAACTAATTACTAGTGTACCTTAATAGCATTCCTATCAAGTTTCTAGGACATTGATGGTAAACCATGTAATTACATTTGTACCTATGCACGTATAGAACCCAATTTTGACCATTGAAGCAAGATCTAATTATCCTAAGAGGAGAAATATAAAGCCCATCAACCACTAAAGCACTATTCCACCATGACTTCTTCACAACAGCACATAGTATGCCACAACGTATTTATTACACTACTTGATTCTCAATGATAGTTCGCTTGACGTTATTTTTAATTTGAAAAAGAAGAAAACAAAAAAAGGAGTGGGAGTGAAGGTATTCCAACACTATTACTTGTCAAACTCCAACCCACAATTGCCATAAGCAAAGACTTTGTTTGGTTTAAGACAATAGTAATGTAAATAATAAACAGGGAGTAATACATACACTTCCAACACTAGTTACAGCTGAGACTTCCTCCTCTTGTTTTCCACCATCAGCCACTTGAGGAGAATCAACTATGCTAGCTCCTTCACACTCAACCTTGGATTTTAGCTGATCTGAAGCTTGGGCCTTCTCACAAGAAAAGAAACTTTATATATAAATAACATGAAAACATAAAGACACAATTTTTCCACCAGTTCTTTTTGACATACCTGGCAAAACGCAGTAATAAGCTCTGGTCTTAGAATACAAAATCGAGATCCTGGCCCAGTATAGTTTGCATCACGGGGAGTTACTCTCATTAAGTCAAGAAGATAATGCCTAAAAAATAGATTATTGTCTCAGACAATACAATAGCTATAACTTAATCAAGTAGCCGAAAACAAAAGGACAGGAAAGCTAAAGGTACAGCTAATAATGCTTCAGGTCTAAGAAATCACCTGTCATCACTACCTACAATGCCCTTGCATTCCACCGGTGCAGCTAACTTGAAAACATTCCCAGATGCATCGAGGACAGAGTGTTCCTTTAAATGCAGACGTTTGGCAGCTTCCAACACCTAGGCATAAACATTGTTTGGCACTTATAGTAAGGTGATATTATTAAACCAAAAAAAGGGCACACTAGAAGATCAACAAATATTAAGAACAAAGACATAACTCCAATAGAAGTAATATCCCTAAAAAATTACTATATATTGTTGAATGAATGAGACCTTTCCTGAAGTAGACAATAAAAAATAATGTAATTTAATGAAAAATAATTATTGAAATGATTAATGTCTGCTCCCTCACCTTGGCATGGAATTCTTCATTCCAGTTGATTTTTTTACCATTGTCAACAGAACCATACAGAAGAGAGTTGGATTTGTCCCCTTGAAGAATGCCAGGAAGAACACTCTACAGCAGAAAAGTGGATTATAGCTAATCAGAAACAATGCCGAAACAAGCAAAGCATACAAAATCAGAGAACTATAAGGATATTGTAAAATAAGATGCTAAAGGGCAGCAGAGACAGTAATACCATTGCCCCTAAACTCGGTTAACCATTTATGTAACAGGCATGCTAAGCTGAACATCGTACCATTTCACCAGTGCAAAGAGAAATGTTGAGAAGTTAGAGAATAATTTTAGGATGAGAGATAACCGAAGGGGAAATAAAAGCCATAGAGAGACACTAGAGAGAGAAGCTGGGACAGTTATTAAAATTGTCCCAGATAGAATGAGCAAACCAACAACCCCAAAAGATATGATCCAAGTCTTCTGACAAATTCTTGTAGAGGATGCACTACTGAAGCCCACCACAAGGCAGAATGCCTCAAAACACGATCCTTGGTATTCACCGTGCCAACCAAAGAGTTTAACCTTTTTTAGAATTTTAAACTTCCATGGCAAGGAGAAAGAAGGACGCCCAGAGGGGGAGAGGTCGCATTGAAAATGGAAATAACAACTACAAGAGAACCCAGGGGACACTAGATACAATAATCCCCATCCCTAAGGGCAAACACAAACCCAACAAAGAGAAGATCCACTACATCCATTGTTTCCCTATTGGACAAAGAACAACGGAAGCCCAATGGAGTTGAAGAAGTACGCGAAAAAGGAATAATGAAAGTGCAAGATTCAGCCTAACCCGATGTCTTCCAAAAAAATAAGTGCTAAAATCATTCCCCACAAAGCATTTCACAAACTGAGAACATAAGGGAATCCCAAAAAATATCACTTTCCAAGGGCTCCTGAAAGTGTCACTATCCCCTTACTCGAGGTCCACTCAAATGGATGAGGCTCGTACTGGCTCATAATAACCCAATATCATAGAGAGTTCGTTCGTCTCTAAAGGGAAATTCCATGGCCATTCAGGAAAAAGGTGCGTACTTATGAAGCCTCTAGTTGCCAACACCAAAACCTCTTTGATCCAAAAGGTCTGACACAACATCTTAAACCACCAAATGAGACCTCTGTTATCTACTAACGAGAGATAAGTTAGAGATATGTGGTAGAGGGAGAGGAGGGTTCCTGCGAGTTAAATATAATACTGAAAAGGTGAGATTTTACAAAACCAAAACTTCCTTTTTGGCTCTTAAATTAATTCAACAAAACTTTTTCAAAATTCGAAAGTCTAAACCGAATGGGTTAACAATGAAAAACTAAAGACAGAAATCAAAATAGTTATCAATCCTGACTTTAATTTTTTTGAAATAAAAAACAAAAACAAAAACAGAAAAAAGACCTAAACTTGACCCCAAAATTATCTTAACAAATAATTATAATTATCCCAAATAAACCCATTAAACCCAGCATCAGAACTGGAACAAAGGAAAACATGTTATCATCCTTCATCCTCAATCCCATGGATTTTGATTTTGATTTTGGTTCACATCCTAAACAGATATATGGTAATCCACTCCATTCTGGTCCTTGCAAGCAGGAGGAGAGAGTAATGAAGCAGAAACTAACATCAATAAATGATAAGCTTACCTGAGCTACCACTCTATGACCCCTGTGATCAATGATTGCCATGGCAAGATTGTAAAGCCCAGGGACATCTGCTTCCTGATATGCTTGTGTGCCTTTCAAATCGTTATTTGCAGAGGCATATGTAGCTTGCTCACTCTCAGTCAACTGAATCTCAGTTGGACCATCAGGTGAAGATTCAGTTATACCATTAACTTCCAAAGTACCACGTGAATTACATCTTTCACCATAAGAAAGTACAACGTCACCGTGCAATGAACGATCAATAGCCCTCTCCGAAGGACCATGTAAAGAGCTTGTGCCCTGGTTTTTTGAATTACCATCAGATGCAGATCTCTTGGATATGTGTTCAAGGTCCGCATCCACAGCCAAGCTGAAGAAAATATTGTTGTGTACATACCTAAAATTCAATGAAGGTATAGCTCAATATCAATTCAATGACTCATGAAATTGTAACAAACAAAATGATTGGTTACAAATTCAACATTCAGATTAACGAGCCAGCCTATCATGACATGCACACAATATATTTATTAACTATCTAATGTATAAATAAAGGCTTCAATAAGGAATGCAGCAGGAAGCAGCTATTTGCATGACGATGTGGAACTAAAGTTGGCCTTCCTGCCTAGGAACAGCATTTTGAGCATTAAAGGGACGTGTACCAAATGTTGATATCTGTTAACTAAAAAAAAAAAAAAAAACTAAAAAATTGCTGATGTGGCACATCCCACTAGGAAGTTTCTTCTAACAACTAACATGTGAAAGCATTCTGGATCGGTTGGATTTATTGGGGGTATGCATCTGTTGATGACTCCAATAGCACCACGAATAGCTGCATCGACGAAGTCTGAAGTTACTTTGTGGAGAGCCCTATCACGCAAAACCCTGCATCATATAGCCTTTGTTAAGAATTGATCACAGAAACAAAGAGGCAAAGGCAGGCCTATTAACAAAGAGGTAACTATACCTTTCCTGCGGAGTTGTATGAGGAAACTCCCGACAAGACTGCAACTCCTCATTCCAATCCCGTTGCATGCCAATCAGCTCACTACCAAAGGAGAGTGTTAGTGCATCTTCTGCCCTGGCTGCATCACGCTTATGGTCTACAAAAATAAAACACAAATAGAATTAATTACATCAAACAATTGAAACAGAGATCAAGAAGCAAAACAAGCTATTTCGAAAAGAAATAACAGCAATTTGCAGAAAGTACAATGTCTTTTTGCACATAAATTTACTACAGAGGTTCAAAACTATCTTTATCTAGCTCACATATCATGTAACTATTACATTTTCAACGAATGAGCTATTCAAAATAATTATAGCATAAAGCAGCCATGCATATAAGATAGTATAGTCTAAATACTAATGCTATCTCTAAGTTAATGATATTAATTAACCATTAACCAATTTAACATATCAATTTGATAACTTTTATTTCCATCAAGATACTGATATGTGAATTTGGAACTTTTTAAGAATGGCATGGAGAACAATAGTTATTCAATATTTTTACAATGAGTTCATTATTTTTTAGGTTAAATTACAAGTTTAGTCCCTTAACTTTCAGGTTTGTATTTATTTTGATCCCTTAACTTTCAAAAGTGCATAATAGGTCTTGAATGTTTAATTTTGAGTCTAATAAGTCCCTAAAAACTTAAGAGCTTGGGTCTAATAGGTACCTAAATTTTAAATTTTGATGCCTTTGATATAAAATTAATTGATAATTGATATATTAGATATAAAATTAAGCTATATGTGTAATGACCCTAAAATTTCAATTTTATACTTGGAAGATACATAACATAAATAAATAAATAAATAAATATATATATGTGTGTGTGTGTGTGTGTGTAATAGGTAAAAAAAACCTATTACATCCAAATTACAAAATTGAAAGTTTAAGAATCTAATAGAAATTTTTTAAATTTCATGGAAATACTTCATATAGTTGAATTCAATGACTTATTAACTTTTGAAAGTTCAGAGACCAAATAAATCATGAGTGTAGGACTAATCTCATTGGAGAACCACCTTGACTCTATCCCATTTGGTTTTCAAAGGTACTCATATGATATTAAAACCTTAGACGGTAGGCTGAGCCCATTGATTAGCCATTAACTTCTTTTACTTTTATATTCGCCCCAATGATCACTAGACCAACGTTGGCGGTGACAAGGAGCTTATTTAATAATAAATTGATGTAAAGGATAAATAAAGAAGTCTTAATGTGGAATAAATTAAATCAATCATCAAAGGGCAACATATAAAATGGAATGTTCTTCAAAGAACCGAAGTAGAAGGTTTGGTATCCCAGCACTTGCAAATAGAAGATAATGATCTGCTATATCATGCTTTAAGGTGCTAAAAAAAGAGGACGAACTGGATTCAAGGGATGAAGCAACTCACCAGGCACGGGATAGACACCAAGCCACGAATTTGGGGGCAACAAAGATTGAACATTTTCAAAAGGATGTGCAGAGGCTCTCTGTTCCAGAACTTCACGGAAAGCTTTAGACAAAAGAAGAAAATGTGAGAGTTTATATATCAATCAGAATGGAATAGTTTTCACCAATTGGATGGTTCCAGTGAACAGTGATCAAGTTTTGCTCTACCTTTTTTGAATTTAGAGCTAATCTTTTGCAACAGCCCAACCAGAGTACTAGCTTCATAATTAGTTTTATATGGCTTTGGGTCAAGAACATTTCCTGTGCTTGAGTTGACATAAAACTTTTTTGCAGTTCCCGTTATACAGAACTTATTACCCTCCAATGTAATCACATCCAAGTATATCAAATCTCCAGTGAGCCTGGAAGTAGCATAAGATGTGTCGTTCGTGAGCATCCAATGGACCAACAAAAGCAACAATCTTCAAATGAGCATGTAAAAAGAGATCGCTTAAGTTTACCTTCTATAGCTTGGAGGAGGATTGAAGGATGAAAACACAATGCTCTCTACACATCTTACTTCTTTCGAGGATGATGATAGAAAACTGCCAAGCGAACCAGAAACATCTTCCAGGAAACCAAGGCTATCAAGCTCTGGGACCTTTGTTTTGCCCGCAATGTCTAAATCACATTAGAATCCAAAAGCCTTCTTATAATGAAATCTCCCAAACGATAAAACATGTTTACAATACATAACAAGCCAATAAAGGAAACAAACTCAAGGAGCTGAACATCCAAACCTCCTGTAGTTGCTGCTGCATTTTTCTGAGCAAGTTCATACTCTAATGCAAGAGATGTTGACAGTGAAGCATGAAGAGTGGAAAGGGAAAGCATGTCTTTGGTACGATGAACATGGGCCCTTATCGATCTATCATCATATAATGCTGTGAAAACAAATACCTGAGAGACCAGAAATAGATCGCCTATCACTTGAAATAAAATAGAAATTCTCATACCAGGTACCATCTCTAACGAGCAACCACCAACTGTAATATCAGCTACTTCAGAAATTTCATTATAATCTTCTAGTTGGAAAGTGGAACCATCCTTTGTGTGCAACAATAAGTCATAGCATGTGAAATAGCAACTTTCAGGAGCATCAAGAAGGAACTGTCTAATGTCCATAACAGAGTCTCCTGGATTGAGCTGCAAATTCATTGAAGAAAACAAGTTTATGCATTTCATTAGGCAATAGGTTGCTGAGGCGTCTTATCTAAAAATAGGTAGCTGAGACGAAAAATTAAATGTCTGAAGGTACCAAATTGCCAGTTAGACCACTGATTTGAACAATAAATTGCAAACATGGAAGAAAACTCATAACAGGCAATCACTTTCTGAAGGTTTGTGCCTCGTCAGCTTGTTCATAAGAGGTCAGTAGTTAGTTGCCCTTCAGTTCTGGATTTTCTTCATCCGTCTGTTAGTTTGCTTTGGGTTTCCAATGCATCGTAGTAGTTGTTGAATTGATAAGAGTTATTATTGTATTTGGTTTGAAAGTGAGTTCTTCTTTATGAAAGACATAGAATTCAAGTCAGTTATTCCTCTTTCATTCTCTCACCATCGTTGGTTAGAGAAAGCCATGGTTGAAATGATGTTTCACTCCGAGCCTTAGATTTTTTCAAACAAGATAGAGATGAGTTTGGTACTACTAGAATCCAGGAACATTGGTTTTCTTCTGAAGCAATTATTGATTGTATTGTATGGTCAATATCTGGTGGAAGGAAGATGACTAGTATTCCTTGTGGTTTTCTTAAGCGCAGTTGACTTACTTTTTTTGGATATGTTGAGAGATTATATTATGAAATTTGAGAAGCTTTGCTACAAGGATTATCAACCTTTGGAATGCAACATAAATTTCTTCATGGACATTGTGAATTCATTCAACCCTCCTTCTCTATTGGTTGCAGATTTATTTTGTCTAAAGCTCTCCATCTCCAAAACCTCTTTTAGAGTAAGAAAAGATAAAGAAGTTGTTAATTTAAACTGGAACTCTTTAGGTTGCAGATTTATTCTGGAATGCAACATAAATTTCTTCATGGACATTGTAAATTCATTCAACCCTCCTTCTCTATTGGTTGCAGATTTATTTTGTCTAAAGCTCTCCATCTCCAAATCCTCTTTTTGAGTAAGAAAAGATAAAGAAGTTGTTAATTTAAACTGGAATTCTTTACGGGTGGCTTCTAGATTGAATGTGCATGATGATTGGAAAGATATTCATAAGGCTATGAAGTCCACTTTGAAACCATTTTTTGATTAATCCTTTTATGGATGATAAAACTTTACTTCGATTGGAAGGTACAAATTTTTTAGTTGGTCTTAGTCCATTGTGTCATTGGTCAAATATTGGTCATTTCCATTGGAAGATTGAAAAATGGGATATTAGCAGGCATAGTAAACTTGAATTCATCACAGGTTATGGAGGTTGGATTAAAATCACGAACTCTCTTCATTATTGGAATAGGCACACTTTCGACGCAATAGGACATTTCTTTGGTGGTTTCATTCGGGTTTCATTTCATATCCTATATTTGTTAGATTAACTTGCGTTGATGTTCAGACGAACCTTTATAGTTTCATCCCTGCTAGAATTGAAATTGCAAATCCAAAAGGGGAAAAAAAAATTCTTTGATTCGGGGATATCGTTCCAATTGATATTCCTTTTGTCTTAATTCTTATAGTTCAAATTTGTTGGACATTCTTTGAATTAGCTCAATAATTGAAGATAAAAGTCTCATCAGCATAGTTGTTCACGCTTTTTGATGATTTATTAGTTCAATCACCAGATTTTTGGCATGCTTCAAAGGAAAATTCAGAGGTGAATACTAGTATTATTGATGAGATGTCCTTTGGTGGTTCCCTTAGAGCGCTTGAGTCTTCTAAGTCTTTAAGTGTTCAAAAGGTGAAGAATTGTTCTATTGCAGCTTACCCCAGCACTACACTCAAAGAAAGGTGCATCACTCTACAATTTCTCCAATCATCGAGGATAATACTTTGAATCCAAATTGCATTAAAGAAAATGTTTCTAGACTTTTGGCTCCATCCATCAAGAAAACTGTTTCTCAAATTTGTAGTCAACAAATTTTTTTGTATTAGATTCTGATGAAACTAGAGCCTTGATTATGGAGAGGTCTAGTATTCTTCTAGTATATCTTTTTTTTTTTTACAAGAGACAAAACTTTCCATTGAACTAATGAAAATAGACTAATGCTCGTAATACAAACTCCTTTATTTTTCTATAGATGCAAGTCTTTATGTAATATACTTGTGTCCAACATTTTACATCTCTATGGTTAGAAAAACTTAAGCCTTTGAAAATTGATGTGGTTTTAACCATTTGTTAGGCATTTCTATTTCAACAAATTTTTTTCCAAGTACAGAATACCCAGTCTTAGATTTAGTTTTCTTTCAACTTCAAGTGAAATTTTCAAGCAGCGGATTTTTTTAATTGTTTCCTTTTCCTAATTAATGTATGCCGGTGATCCTTATTGCTTATTGGGGGGGGGGGGGGG